GTTTTAGATATAGTGGTTTAGTGTGGTTTAGTTCATGGTTTTATCCGGTTGAACTCCGGTTAATAGGTTCGTTAATCTTATTGTTAGCTTCATTAATTCCCCTGTATAAATACTCATCCTTGTACAGATTTTCACAATTAATGAAGAAGACATTTATTTACAAGTTTGTTTCTAAGAATATGAAAGCAAAATGTCAAAGTTCATCAGACTTAAGAGGAGATTCTATGTTTAGAAACCAGGAGAAAACACACTTACATATAGAGGACCGTTGAGTATATATTCATCTGGCCGGCAAGCCAGAATGCTTTTTCAGCTTCTAAATAGTCTATCATTTCAAAATGTGCTTTCCCGACCTACATTTAGTAGCACCATGATATGTATAAAACCCATCAAAGTTCCTTTCGACAATGAATATCACAGGCCACCAGACTATCAATTCATGCAGGGGTTCTCTTTGGAATCTTTTGTTACAGTTAGACGCTTTAATAGTCTATACACAACAACCAAACCGAACAAGATAGTTCTTAGAGTCATTTACAAGCTATATCCACACATAACAGCCTAAAAAAGAAAAGAGTCACTTATTACCTGGGAAAGAACCCATCCTGTATTGTAATGCTTATGCCTTATGTGGAAGTTTCATATACGTATCCAGTGCCTCCAGAATCACAAGGGAGACAATGAAATAAGCCTGTATAAGTTCACTTGGCCTTTGTTTCATTAAACAAATTTGTTAACGGTATTGAAAAGCCGATTTAAGAATCCACTTTTACGCAACGGCTTCGTACAGAACGTTGCTGCTAATTGATTGTCACTCGATCAAGTTTTTGATAAGTTTAAATGTGTTCTTCAGATTTGAATAATTTTTAGATTGGTGTACCACTTTCGAATTTGAAGGTAAGTGGGCAATATTTGTATGCTTTTTGTGTTCTTGATTTCAAAGAAATTTTATACGTTTCAAATGGATAGTGTTGGAGATAATTCTTTAATCATACAAAACAACCGTAGAATAACAGCAATAGTCAAAAAGAACCATTTAATGTATAATAACGTATGGAATGATCCAATGATATGATATTTTTATGAAAAATATTAAATTATATTGAAAAGAAAAGTTAATTAAATTTCCTTAGACATGAATACTGTTTGTGTTCCTTGATCTAAAAAAACTAAAATAGGTTATGGAGTATGGTTTTAAATCAGTCCAATTTAATTTAGATTAATTTCGTATGTATATTGTTTAAATTCATTTGTTGGCCGATTTTTTTTCAAGATGAGCATTGCTGTCAAATAGTATGTTCATCTAATTTTTAAAAGATTAAAAATATAACAATATTTTGATTAGTGAACAAAAAATAGTTAGATAATTTGACGTTTAAAAAAATAAAATTTTGTCAAAAGAATTATTTTGACAATTCTTCCCAAAATAAAAATCACTCATCCACGACTATTTAGTTGATACTTTACATGATTACATCCTTCTATTCGAATGATATAAACACCTTGGTGGAC